CCTTAGCAAAGCGCATCCCAGGCTGCATAGCCGCACTACCCTACCCAACCATACCACACATAAACATGACACTACCCCCGGGGTTTACACAGACGAGCCGGCGAAGCAAGAAGAGCGCCAGAAGAAAGGGCCCTAGCCGGCGGGGCCCAGCCAGGACAAAAGGAGGTCCCACAAAGCGCCTACACCGGCCGCATTTGCGGTCGGGGTAGACGACGGATGGGGCCCACCTACGAAGGCTGTCCAGGCCTACACGAGATGAGGCAGGATAAAGAGGGATAATCCCCCTCGATCCCAAATCATTGAGGCCATGGAATAATGGCGCGGCGGCGAGTCAACCGGAGAATCTTATCAAATAGTCTGTTAACCTTTGAAGAAATGTACACAACTTTAACGCAAATAGAGCGTGTGCTCAATTCCAGACCTCTAACACCGATCTCCTCAGATCCCAATGACTATGACTTGTTAATTCCAACGCACTTCCCTGTAGGTTAAAGAATTACCACCCTACCTGATCCTAACCTGAAAGATATCCCAGAAAACCGTTGGTCAAGGTTCCAACGCATCCAACAACTTCAACAACATTTTTGGTCGAAGGAATATATTGCGGAATTACAATAGCGTTCAAAATGGACCAAAGGAAGGAGCCAACTGCAAGAAGGTGCTATGTAAAATTTCTTGTTCTTTCGAATGGAGCAGTATTTTTTTTTAATTAAATTTTTTTATATAATATTTTATTATTATATATTATATTACTCAACTCTGTCGATTTCAGGGGGTAAGAAGCACAAGAAGCACAAGAAGTCGGACAGGGGCAGGGCTCGGAGGCCTAGCGCCGCCGTCGACCCGAGGAACTTCCGCGAGAGGTCGTTCTCGGTGTGCACGGACCGCTCCAACATCCTGGAGCACCGCCTCGGTCTCGGCCTCGGCTCGAGCTACCTCTACGACGAGTACTCCGACCGGGAGCGGACCAACAGCCTCAGCAGTTGCGAGACCTCCGAGAACGCCAGGAAGCTGTCCACCATGTCGAACGTGCCCCTAAGCGGCAAGGTGCCGTGGTGCGGGTGCTGGGGCAACGGCTGCTTGTGATACGGCGGCAAGTGCCGGCGTCGATTCGGTCGTCAAATAAAAAACATTTTTTTAAATTATTTCGTCGTTTGACATTGACGGTGCTCCGTGAAAGACCCTGAACGTATTCGAAAATAGGAAGAGAACTACTCGCACAGTTTTTTCGATAGTTGTATGTAGTGTATCGTTCTCTGGACAATATTTTGTAATGTTACGTGTTTTTGAGTCGTCTGTTTGTATGAAATATAAGCGTCAGTTTTTACCAACTGGTTTAATTTTAAAAAATGCTTTCTTTGATAGCCTGTAACGTTTTTGTTTGTGGGAATTTCTTATTTTCCAGTGGCGTTTTTGAGTTACAAAGCAAGCTTATATTTTTATTATATGGAACGCCCTGGAAATTGTGCAATTTTTAAAATCTGCAAAAAAAATCATTTCAAACGATGTGTTATACGGAGAGTAAATTTAAGTGGGGATAATTCTAGGTGTTATTTACCAAAATACATAAAATTAAACCGCGACTGATACGCACGAAACAAAAACCAGCATGCTGTCTAAATGAAACAGTGCTTTTTCGATCCGTTTCGTCGACCAATAGTTTCATAGCCACGTGCTTGATCATTGTTCACATGATCAAAATGCGAGTTCAATTAACTTTTCACCAGTGACGGCTCGTCGTATGAAGCAACTGAGGCCGAGTCTCACTGTAAAATTTTGCCGTCACACCGAAAATTGATTCTTTTTCAACATATTTTTTTTTTGATGTTTAAAGAGTATTTAACACAAAATTGTGAGAAAGGTAACTCAAAAAAAACTTGTTTCATCGTGAGCGTTAATTGATGTTTAAGGAGCCGTAAACCTGCTCTTTTAATTTTTTACAAAATTTTTACTATTCAAAATTGTAAAATTTTCAATCTGAAGATTTCAAAACTTCCAAGCTGTTTTTTATAAAGTCTGAAAATTCTTCACGTGAACGATAATTGTAAATGCAACTAAAAATTTCTATATTCTAGATTTCTTGTCGTGACCTTGAAAATTAAAAAAAAATGCGGTTCTTTTATTTATTGCCACGGGTTTCACCTATTTACAATGTCACTAGCCGCCACTGCTTTTCACCTGACTTATGTAACATGACAGCAGGGTGGTAGACGGGCAAAAAAATGGTCAATATTTATTTTAGTTCTCATTATTCTAAGAAAATGAGTTTCAGAGTTTAGTGACCAACAACAATAACAACAACAACAACACCACCACCAGCAAGCAGTAGCAGCAGGAATATCGACAGCTATGGAGGACCTTTTAGGAAAAAAAAATAATTTACTTGAATTAGCTTGACACCTTTATAATAAAGTAAACATATTTTGTTCTGAAATAATTTCTTTTGAAATCAGTACATAAATTTTCCGTAAACAAGTGAAAAAAGTTGAATTGTTGCAAAAAAACAATTGATGTTGACAATCGGAATGAACTATAAACAAGGCAACCAGCTTAAGCAACCCAACATCGCACGACTGCAAAATTCCCTAAACGTCACCAATATTAAGGAGGTAATATAGGCCAATCATTATAGCTTTTTTTCGGGAAAAAATACTATTAGAAGTTTTTCTGCGGAATATTGTTCAGAAACGTGTTATAAACAAAATATCAAAAAATCAACTCGAGACTAGTTGGGGAAACTTTGTTAAAACAATGGTCAAAATTATGGAAAAGTGGTTTTTCGACTGGCGTAAAAAAACTGTTATTCATAGAGAAAAGAAGGTTTATACAAAAAAGGTAGGTATTAAATAAATCTGTAAAACAAGACAAGTCCGATTAAATTCCGGTAATTTGTTTATGCGCAAGAGCTCAAAAATGGTCAAAAATGTCCGCTTTTTTCAATTGCTAATATTTAATGCAATTTTTTCATCGCAGACACTTGTAATTCAGAATTTTTGAAGCTTTTTGCACCCTTAATAAGTGGTAAAAATTTCAACCCAAAAGCTTCATTAGCTTGGCGTTGACGGAATTTGTTATCTAAGAAGATGCTATTTTCATTTCATTTTTCCCAAGCTCACAGGCGTTGTAGGGTTTCGATCATTAGTTGTTTTTGTACCTAAATAGTTGTATTGACATATGCATTTACTGATAATTTAATTTTTCAAATTTAATTTGTTTAAAAATGACTTTGAAAAAATGTTAATATTTATTACATCGTTAAGCGCGCATGCTAAGCCTCGCCTTCCCCACTCGTTCGCTAGACCAAGTAATAGAACGCATCGCCGCTATCTTCTTTTTCGAAATTAAATAGTTGAATTCACCTTAATGTTAATGTAGGACATGAAAATATAGCTCTTAATGTATACTCTCTCCAAATTTCGGCTCTTAATATTAATAATTAAGGTCACTGCGATTAAATAAA